GCGGCACGAAAAGTGCAAAAACGCATAATCGCACCGGCCCCTCTGGTGCGTTCCAGCCTGCGTTTTTATTTGTTTTTGCCTATATTGCAAAGACGCATATCGCGACGACCTGTCTGTGTGTGTATTTGTGTGTGTATGTTTGTGTGTATGTCTGTGTGTGTATTCGTCTGTCCGGGTATTTCACTCGGCAACCAAGCAAGTTCCAGCGCCAAGATTTGCTAGTAGGTTCCCCGGCCAGGTGCCATCCCAGAACCGCAGTACCAACCCTCACGTAAGTCTGGGCCCCGCGTACAAGGCGGTAAAAGTTTTGGCGGGAAAATCGATAACCCGGGGACGAGAAAAGGTAAAAAGCTGAAATTTTGAGGTTATGTTCCCCATCCACACATAACTCGAAGATTTCAAATTCAGTCCCCAGGTGTGCGTGCTTCCCGCGTACAGCCCCATGAAGTTTTCTGGCGGGAAAATGACTAACTCGGGAACTAGCAAAGCTGGGGGGCTGAAATATCCAGGGGATGTTCTCAGCCGATGTATGACTTCAAGTTATCAAATTCAGCTCCCAGGCATGCGCGGTTCTCGTGTACGGGCACTTAAATTTTTGGCGGAAACTTTGGTACAAAAACGTATGATCGCACCGGCTCGCCTGGAGCGTCCCAGTCTGATTATTTGAAAGTGACTCAGCTGTTCAATGAGTAATTTTCTCGCCAAAAATTTCACGAGGCTGTAGGCGGGAATCACACACACCTGGGGTCTGAATTTGAAATGTTTGAGTTTTATGTGAACGGGGAACTTAACCTCAAAATTTCAGCTTTCTTTCTTTTCTCGTTCCCGAGTTATCAGTTTTCCCGCCAAAACTTTCACTTCTTCATACGCGGGGCCCAGACTTGCGTGAGGGTTGGTACCGCGGCTGTGGGGTGGCACTTGGCCGGGGAACCTACTAGCAAAATCTCAACGCTGGAACTTGCTTAGTTACCGAGTTGAAAAACCCAGACAGACGAACAAACAGACAAACATACACACACAGACAGGGTCTTCGCAATATGCGTTTTTGCAATTTCCACATAGACGAAAACGCATAAAAATGAAATTGTGTTAAGGAGTGTTTCAGCCCAACAAGTCCTAGACATTTCTATTCAACACCACAGCATAAAAAAATGCAAGGTGTAAATATAAACTATGAGACTATATACAAACTATAGGGTGTTATGAAAAAGAGTATCAAATTCAGACCTGCGATTATCAAAATTGCGGACGAAATTATGAATGGTATCTCCAACGCTTTAGACACTTTCATCTTTGCTATGGCAATTCGTACCAGTGTCACGGTTCCTGAATATGACAACTTCAAACACAGGATATTAGCTTTGGCACGGTGGCGAACCGCTAACCGTTGCTATCCTTCTCATCAAGTCATTATTGGTTTTAGTAGAGCCTTACGTAAGACACACAGACAATTTGTTATAACGTCTGCTGACAAAGTGCCAGACAATTACATAGTTATGTACAAGAAGTACTATGCTTCGTTGAACTGCAGTGAGCTCAGTTTCAACAGCCTTAATCACATTCAAAGAGAGAGTGCATACAGATCAGTATCGCTCTCCATCCAACAACTGGTCCTCGATCACTATAAAATTCTAGATAATTTTCAGCTTCATACCATCAATATTGGCACATCCATCCCCTTCACCTATGCTATCCCCAACTTTATGGAGATACCTATGAACACAGATTCATTGCTGCAGCAAATAAATCACCTCCCCGAAGTCTTTCGATTATTCGGCATCGTTAAAACTCACTTTCGCAGCTACTGTACGCAAATCGCTACACGTGGTGGACGGCCGTATACTGCAGCATTACCAGTTCACTAACCGTGGTGCAAAAGCTTGCCACATTAGGCAGTACTATCGAATATTCACATACTGCAGACTTCAGTAACCTTTTCACTAGCCTACCCCATTCTCACATTACTGATGATCTGTTTTACCTCACTGACCTCTGCTTCATCAATGTGAGAAAAGAATACACTGGTTTAAATAAAACCCAAATTTGGTATGCTAACGAATTCACAGATGATGTCACTAAGGATGAAATCAAGGCCATTTTTCGGATTATTCTTCAAGAAAAATATGTATGATATAGTGATTACTTTTTCAAACAAGTGCAAGGATGCTAATCCTGATATTGTCAATCTTACATTGTCAGTAGTCATGGAGTATCGCTACCTTTGCAAGAATCCCAGGACTCATCTTCATCTCTTACGATATATCGATGACATTCTTATTGTTAACTGTGCCAAATTTACTGAAATTGACAGTAACATCTGTCGGCCCAGTCTGCAATTTAACACCACTTACTCCGGACAAAGAACTTGTTTTTTAGGCCTCGAAATTTTACACCGAGAGGGTATATGTATTTTCAGCCGTACTATAAGACCTTGGACTACCCAGCCACACTATATCACGGAGGGCATCCAGACAGCGATATGGACCAAACGGAACAAGAAGATGTCATTATATCGCAAATACTTCGTTGTGCACGTATATGCACTCTTTCAGAGGGGATGCATGACTGGGCTAGACGACTTATAAGTATTTAGTATTTATAGATGTAAAAAGTTCGGTATCGCCAAAATAGGAAGCTCCGTTCTTAGATTCTGTTTCAGGAACCGACCAGTATCCAGCAAATTCATTTCCCCTGATGATTTAGGAATTAAACGCCTAGTAAGTATATTATTCTCATAAAAAATGTTTCCTCATAATTAGCATATATTGACTGTCCATATCATGGGTTAGCTTTCTCTCTGTCTCATCTCTCTCACTCTTTTTGTTCTTTCTCTGATTTCTCTTTCTTTCGCATACTGTCTTGCAAATTAGCCGCCTGACTGTTCAGAACGTGACGGGTGGGAGGCTGTACTGATGATTCCCGCTCCTACCCGCATGCACTGCTTGGTCTATGTTAACAGCTAAGGGATGAAACATAAACTGCATCGTAAAACGCCCTCCGACAGATAAAACTTAAGACCAGTCCTTCTATTCTACTATTTGTAACCACCCACTGACGAGTGTTGTTAACCGAAAGCAAGAGAAAATGCGTCCGACCGTCAGACATAATGAATGCTGATATATCAATTATAGACAGAAAAGGAAGCAGATGACAATTATTTTCGTTTGGGATTGCCCTCGTCTCATAATAACTTTACCGTGTGCTTGCAACATGGTTGAGAAATCCTCTACACTTTTTATCCGTTTCTTTTTGCATATTTGTGCCGATGCAAAAATGGGTATTGGCGCTTAGTTCTCTTTAAAATACTTTAACTATGCTACTTCCGTAGCAAAAATTGCTCTACATTATGCAGGCGAAAGTAACGGGGCAACCTTGCTAACCGCTTAACATCTCCCGGTGACTGTCACAATGCATTTTTAACAATTTTTTGTCAAAGATGGTGCTGCAGGTGAGTAATACTTTATTTGATAAGCCGATTAAGACAATAAGTTGCAAATGGCCCGTTTCATCATTACTACACAATCACCCATTATTTATATATCTCGTGGAATGGATAAAGCAACTACCAGCAGAGCTACTTCTGATCCAGCAGAGAGAGCTCCACAATCTGATTCGGCCCCAATTGGCCGACATAAACTGTCCCATCATCCGATATCGTTAAGCAGTGAGCATTTTCAATTCCCTAAAAATTGTGTAGTACTGAAAATTAGCCACCGACCGAACAGCAAAGACGTTTTACAAGCTCAGATCGGTAAAAATTCAGAATTGGCAAGAAGCCTAGCCTACTGAAGTGTACGTGGGGTGGCGAAAGGGAGCCACAAAGACATCTCTAAAAATTTCGATAAAGAGGGTAATTTTTCAGTTGTATGGAGTAGTATATCAAAAAATACTTAATTTAATTCATTAAAAGTTAAAGAACTGTTCAATGCAATAACAAATAAAAATCCTGTGGAGAAGCCACTAAAAGAGGGCATTTTTTGTTACTTCTTTACCTGAGGAGGGCGTAAAAATGGAAAAAAAACTTTAGTGGATAAAAGGAACAGAGTGGGGGATGAGATGGATCAGGGGTGCAAACGTGCAAAGTACCCAAAAGCGACATACAGTTGACCAGAAATGTTCAAAATAGGAAAGGAACTGCTTTGTCATATGTACGCTGTTTTCCATCAAGTATCGACAGGCTTTCGATGCGCTCCTTTATTAATTCTGAATTGAAGCACTGGTTAAGCGAAGTTAAGTTTCCCGCTTCTGTTAATAACGAACTCAAAACCGCAACAAAACTGCGAAACGGTGGCTTAACTTCTTCTTTTATGGAATTTAAAAAAAAATTAGTGGGAGCAAAAAAAAAATGCTATACATGCGTGAATGAATGTGTATGCATGTACTTATTTGCGTGTATATTTATTCTACATGTAGGTATTTATGTGGGTGTACGTATGCGTTTGTGTGCTCTTTGCACACTTTCAACTCCTCGATTAGACAAAACAAGGGAGCTGAAGTATTCAGAACTTAGTCTTCGGCTCTGACTAATTTGCCCCAAATATGAAGCACGCGCGAAACTTTGGTACTTAAGGGCATAACTGAGCAAAAAATATCATGCTCACGCCTATTCTCGGGTGTGCGATCCTATTTATCCAGCTTCAGCTCAGAGCACTGAATAGAGTTTATACTCTTATGTGCTGCAGCTTTAACAAAATATACTACCTTGATCAAACTGCTAGCCTTTCCGCTATCCATGTCCATTACGAAGAGTTGTGGCTCAATACCCTCACCGTCTGAACCAGTTGCGCCAACCAAGTAGTGCTCTGCAACAGGTGCAAAAATTTCGGAGCAAATTTTTTGCAAATGAATTGGTCAGAAAGAAACCCAGGCTGGAACGCACCAGGCGAGCCAGTGCGATCATGCGTTTTTGCATCAAACTTTGAGG